AGCTCCTGGAGGAGGGTCATGCACCCATTCCATTTACTTCCATTGCAGCCCCAGTTTAGAGAGAGGTCCTGACTTCATGAGGCTTGTTCTTGGGAAGTTTTTTTCCCAGATGACCTCCAAACGTTTGGAAACATGCCTTCTCCCCTGAGAACTGGAGTCTCAGCCAAAGTCTGGTTCTCCTGGACCCAGCTATCCTCCTAAGAGGAAACACAAAAGGGCAACAGTATCCGACTGACATGTTTAGGAGCCGGGTCTGGCTGCACCTGGGAAACGTTGCCCAGGAAGGGGACAGGATGAGGCTTTCTAGGCCTCAGCAGTGAGGGGCCACATCCAGGCCAAATACAGAGGAACAGAAATGAAAGGAACCAAAAACCACACCAGGAGGCAAGAGTCCAATAAAACTATGTTTATAAATAAAAACAAGGAGATTGGTGTTGTTTCTATAAAACACAGCAGGCAGGATGGCAGGGGAGGAAACGGGATGGGAGACTGGGCAGGGTAATGAGCTGGTGAGGCAAGGTAGGATGGGGGCTGGCAGTATGAGCCAGGAGAAGGTTGGTGGGCGGCGGCGTGGAAGGCAAGAGAGCAAACAGGGTCAGGGGAGGGACTGTAAATAGTTGGTGCCAAATATGGAGGGGGCTAGGAGGATGGCACATGGAGCATTTGACAAGCTGGCACCTGCGGGGGGTAAGAAGGATGCTGAGCAGTAGATGAGCTGGGGGCACATTTGGGGCTAGACCAATAGAAAGGGCATTGTGACGGGCAACAGCGGAGCTGATGCAAGGATGCAGGAGCTTGGAGCATGGTGGGTGGTAGATGAGCTGGTGCCAGGAGCAAGGTACATTTCATCTGCTGAGAATAATAAAAACCGCAAGTCCGAGAATCCAAAGGAGCTCGCGCTGCTACAAGGGAAGCTGCTGTGTGGCAGCAGAAGGGCGCAAGACCATGACAGCCCAGCGTTGGCTGCAGTGGGGTTGAGCATCTGTACCATATACAGTCCAGTGCACCGGGTAGGCTGCCCACGGCACACCTCCTCGCCTCTCCAGTACCAGGCAGGAGGAGCAGAGCTCTGAAGTTTCAGAAGAAAAACGGGAATGTAGGTGTTGGAGCAAAGCAAAGCGCAGTAACAGAGGCTGCTGCAGTGCTCCAGAGATAGGCCCAGGGTGTACATTCATGCCTAGACTGTGGTCAAGCTACTCAGAAGGGAACCGTGTCTCCTGAGAAGCAGACTCCGATAGCAGACCTGCTGCCCAGGCCTTAAGCCAGATGTGTCCCAGCCTCCACGGGACCTGGTCCAAACCCCCAACGCTCACATACATGGGGAGCATGGCGATGGCAGGAAGGCAGCACTGCTCGTTCTCTAAGCCCCAGAGCCTTTGTGGACAGCAGACACTGGGAACTTACTATTTGGCTTCCTATGCAACTTGGAATTAACAGGGCTCCTGCAGCCTGGCCCCCCCACCCCAACCAGTTCTGGCTCTGATCTGACCTAACAGCTCCTGCACCCCTGGCACCCAGCTGGGCATCCTGATATCGGTGCTGTGCAGCAGTGTTAAGAGCACATCTGAAACCCCCAGCTCCGTTAGGGCCATCTTGGATCGAACATCCTCCATGAGTATGTGATCGTGCAGGGGTAGGAGAGCACAAGGGGCTGCCGAGACTCCAGGGGCACATTCCTAGCTAGAGCTTAGTACCACTCCCAGAGCAAACGTGGGCAAATAGAGGCCACAGCTTCGCACTCAGCCAGATCCACAGCGTCCAGGCCAGGGGGGCTGGGGCAAAGCCCGGAGTACCAGGAGGCAGATAGTTCAGTAATTTTAGGCACCTGGAGATGTGGGAGATAGGGACCTGACAGCACACAGCCAGGATTGTAGCCATCAGCAGGCTACCTTCGAGCCTAGGGCTTACTATCTGCACACAGCATTAACAGGCCCAAGCCTGAGCACCTGTGGGCCTGGGAAGTGGGGGAGTAGCAGGAAGGGGCACCCTCCCAGCCAGGGCCTCACCTTCTCCACTCCCCCAGGCACTGAAGCCCTGGAACATTCATGCCACTGGCTGCGAGGTGACTGCATTTATTGAACTGAACACACAAAAGGCTGGAAACTGGGTCCTGCTCCCCTCTCAGGGCTGTGGAGGGGATGGGGCATCTTCCACTAGAGGGAAAGGAGCCATCTTCAGCGCCGTGTGTACCCAGCGCCCGCAGGGATCCGTGTCCTCCTCTGTTGGGCCAAGGTGTCACGCCGTGCCACGCTCCGGCTCTCGCCCCTGCGGGCGGCGAGCTCAGAGGAAGTCAAACACCCCGTAATTCTTTGCTGCTTGACAGAAGAGACACAAGAGGGTGAAAAGAGAAAGAGGAGACGTTTAGGGCAGGAAGGAGTGAGGCAGCAGTGGCACACGGGCGGGCAGCACAGGCACCAGGCTGGATGCGGATTAATGGGGTTAGAAGGGACAAGGAAAGGGAGTTAAGGGCTCGTGCAAGCGGCAGCAACTTGCCCCTGCACACGCAGTCCGGAGGCAGCCGGGCCGGCGGGGCCTCGGGGCCCCCTCCCTCCACACGAGCAGGGATTAGAGTCAAGGTTTAGTTCAGTTTATTTTTTCCCTTTTTTTTTCCGTTATCAAGACAAAATAAAAACAAAGAGTGAAGCTGGGGCTGGTCCTAGGAGACAAACCGACGGGGCGGCAGACAGACAGGGGGACGGGCGCTTCACATTACATCCACAAAGAACTCACTAGGGTTGCCCATGGCCATTCGGAACGACTGTCTACTGGCCGTCAGTTCTGGGGGCACAGAGGCCAGGTCACGGCCCGGAGGGGCGCCCGGGGGCCCCATGGCTGAAGGCGGCGGAGGCATCAGCAGCATAGGCGGGCTGTAGAGGGGAGGCAGGCCTGGTGGCCCATATGACTGCTGGCTGTGGTGACTGCGGAGGCTGTGAGCCAGGGAGTGCTGGCTGCGCTGGCTGTGCTGGCTGGCAGGCACCGAGCGCTCGCTGGCTGCCCGCTCCCGCCTCATGCTACTCCGAGTAGTGTGATCCGACTCGCTGCCACTGCCACCTGACTTGGACTCGCCGGTCTTTGGGTCTCTCTCCTTCCTCCTCTCGCTGCCACTGCGGTTCGATCCGCTGCTTCGGCTTCCTAAGAGATGCATAAGGCAAGGTTAGGGAATGGTCCAGACAAACACAGGCTTCCTGCCCCCACCTGCACGGCAGGGGGCAGCTGGAATAAAAGAGCCTCTCCTCCCCGCATGCTAAGCTGATCATACTGGCAGGGGGGCAGGGCTGCACCATGCATGAGCTGCTCCATGGGAAGTGCCTGTGCGCACGCTCTTACCTTGTAATAAGTAAAAGCCAGATGGCAATACCAGGCCCCCCCTTCCCAGAGGGCTAAGCCACCATGGATTAAACTTCCACTTACTGTGCCGTAAGCCTGTGTACATACAACAGACCAGCTAACACACAGAGAAGTCCTGCCCTCGTTTGTCTCATGTGAAGTTGCTCATGAACCCACCCCCTCAAGCCAAGCTACAGCAGGTCTCATAGCTCAGACCTCTCTGGGCTCCTATTCTCACATTGTGCCTTGTAGCACACAGATCTTGCCTCTGGTAATGGCTTCTGCTTGAGGCTCCCAAGTTGCTGGTCACGCACCTCCCCAGCTGCACCACAGTCACAGCGTGTGCGCATGCTGTTCGGAGAGAATGCTTTCCTCCTCCCAGCACATGACTCAGACCTTGGCTCCCTCTCCGAAGGTGTAAAAGCCAAGCCCCTGAGGCACGTCCCAGCTCCCTGCCCCCTTGCATTTACCTTCACTGTGTTGGCTGCCTGCACTGCCCCCTCCATAGCTGTAGCCTGGGTCAGGGAATCCTGGGTGTGGGTTGTATGGATGAGGCGGTGGATATTGGTATGGGAAAGCCATGGGCCACGGTGCAGCTCCTGGGTGAGGGAGAGGAGCCAATGTGTCCTGGTCGGAGGCTCCACTGGATCCATCGTGGTCATGCAGGGAGAGGTTAGCCATGTCTGCAGAGACGTAAGCAGAGAACACAGATTAGTTCTGGCCTGGGCAGTGCAGCAGCTAATAAGCAGTAACCGGAAAGGCAAGAGGAGTTTTCCGGGGACCAAGGGGGGTCATGCTCACCTCACCCAGAGGCGGCACCTATGAACACTTCCTGGCTGGACCCTTCCCCAGGTTGCATTAGAAGTTACTGCTCCCCACACACTCAGGGAGGGGGTTGTTGCTCTGCTAGTCAGAAACCAGCTCCGAAGGGCCTGTCAGAGCAAGCCAGAATGCACCCCTCTTCGCCAGGTTTCTCTCCCCTCCCTGCTCACGCTCCTCATCTGAACAAAACCACTCAGATGAACCTAAGTCTCCCTTCCATAATGTAAACTCCAGTAGCACCGAGTAGAGCTCATCACAATAGTTGAGGTCTAGCCTAGGACTATGGAAAGGCCATGTATTACTCCTCCCTTCTTGAGTCAGGAGGAAAGGCCAGACAGCAGCAGATGGGCACTGAAATGAGCTGCATACACTGGCACCAAGGACTGAAGAGCAGTAAGGAAGCGGCCTAGCCTGGCAGCAACGAGCTAGTGCTCAGAGAGCTGGTAGGGCAGAGCAGAGCAGAGCAGAGCTCTCCCCTCTTGCACCCTCCCTAAGCCCGCCCCCACTGGAGCCCGCCATACTGCCACAGAGGTCCCCGAAGATGTAGTAGCACTGCTCTGAGAAGGTGATCTTGTTGACGGTGTGGCGGATGTAGCCGGCCTTCAGCAGATTGCTGGCATACTTGCGGGACTCTCGCCGGTCAGTGAAGCCTTCCACGTGGTGATAGAGCCAGTCTACCACATCTGAACCTGCAGCAGGGAGCATCCCCCAATGAACCTGGTTAAACATGGCAGCGTAGGGAGGAGGGGGCCTGGGGGCAGACCAGGGTGACAACAGCTGGTCCCAAAAGTGAGGGACAGGAGAGGTCCGAGAGTAAGGTTTGGGGAGGGGGGTCAACATTTCAAACGCTTTCCCAGGCCCAGCCAGCCGGATGAGCTAGATAGTATACAGTGGTGAAGGCTGGCACAGGGAACCCGCCAGCCCATCTATGCGTCTATCCCCGCGCCCGTCCCAAAGGAGGCAGCGGCCACCTCTTACCGATGAAGGCGTTTGGGATGGTGATTTTCAGCCACATGCGGTCGCGCACCTCCAGGCCGGACTCAGGTGAGGCCATGGCTTTGACAATGGTGGCCATGTCGCTGTGGATGGACAGGTGAAAGTCATCGAGGCCTGCGAGGTGGACGGAGGGAAGGGAGGCACAGATGAGAGGGGATGGAAAAAGTCATGGAGCCACATGGAGGTGTCGCACACAAGGGGATGGGCCAGGGAACAATACATCGCAGACTCGCCTTCTGACCCCTCTGACGCTGCAGAGCCCACCTGCCTGCCGCTGCCTCCCAGCTGCCTGTTGGCAGAGTATGGCTCAGAGGCTCTCTCCTCCCTCTCAAAGCCAAGCCAAACTAATCATCTTTCTCCAGCAGTAGCTGCTACAAAGCTTGCAATGTTCTAAAATCTGCTACGCAGCCTATGCCGGCTCCCCTGGTGAATTCAACTGGCAATTGCACCGCTGGCAAGGCTACAGGGAGCAGTCAGCTCATCTCCCCAGCCCAGGAAAGAGCTGGTGCTAAAGCCAGGTTCTGTTCAGGTGCTTTCTTCCATGCACTCTTTACTGGTGGCACCAACACTCTTCAGTAAGACACCCCCCCCAAAAGAGTTTAATTTAAATCTAATGATCCAACTATACAAATCCCCTGAGCCCCGCTTACAGCTCCTCTGCTCGGAAGACCCCAGATCGTTGAGAGCCAAACCACTGCTTGGCTATCTCTCCTCATCTGAGCTCTAACATGCTTTACAGGCCTATTTGCTGTGCAAAGAGCAGTGGGCCCTGGCCCACCAAGAGAGCTCTAAGTCTCCCTCAATCAGGGAGGCCACAAGAAGTGCAGTGAGAGATTCTGGGGGACAACTGAGAAAACAAGGACAAGACTGCAGGTCAAAGGTTAATAGCGAGTGTTGCAAGGGGGGAGACACACCAAGCAGAGCATGCCAGCCAGCGCTCACTGTCCTTCAAACATGTCCCTGGAGCCTCTGGACACCAGCCGGTGAAACTCTGCCCAAGGATATATGCAGGGAAGTGACAGGAAAACAGCCCCGTCATTCAGGCTGCCTGGGGCCAGAGCATCCTTCCTGGTCTGGTAGATAAGTTTGGCTGAAGCCAGGAGGAGGTCCAAGGACTTGGTGGGGCCACGGATGGGGAGGGCATAAATGAAAAGGGGGTGGATGGGGAAAGAAGTGCGGCCAGAACCTGAGGAGAAGGTTCCTGAGAAGATGGTGGAAGGGCTGCAGCCTGGCACGATCGAGGTAGGCAGATGCTAGGGTCTCCCTCTGCTGACAAAATGGGCAGGTATTGGGGGTGTCGACACACATGCAGGAGCTGCCAACTGAAGCCCCGGGTGGCTTGTGGGATCCGGGTGTAATACAGGATGGGTCCACCGGGGACTCTCATCCTCACCGAGGGCACTTCACCACTTGGTGTCTGGGTGGGACACAAGGACAGGATGGTGGAGTGGTCGGACCATGAGCGTGTAGAGCTGGTAGGAGCAGACTGTGCAGAGAAGCACCTGGGCCTGGTGTCCCCTGACCTGCTGAGGTGGTCTTACAGGAACTGGAGGTTCACCTGGCATCTGCCTGACCCCGGGACCCATCTGACCCTGGTACCCAATGCCTTCTGCCTTCGACAGGGTGCTCCTGCCTGGGCCCAGCCTCTCTTGTCCTTGCAGGGGACCAAGAAACCTGACACTAATTTGCCCAGCCTGGAATGCCACTTTCCCTGGGCTACTGGGTAGGTCTTTTCTTAGCTTTCCTCATTCAGATGCCTCTATTCCTGGCCTCTCCCCTGGTCCCTGGAGTGGAGTTGAGGGAACTTCACTTCCTCCAGACCCTAGTGCTTGTGACAGGGAGCTGTGGCTCAGGGGCTACTCCCCTTTCCCCCCAGGCCACTCCCCGCCACCCCTGGTTTCTGCCTGCTCCGATGTATTGCTCCCATCAGGCACAATGGGGTGCTGGCAGGCACAACACAGGTGACCTGAAGCTGTGCCGCGAGGGGAGCACGCAGGCACGAGGACTTACGTTCGGTCTCTGGGATGGAGCTGGTGATGGAGGAGCTGGTGGAAGTGATTGTGCTCATGGATGGGCTCATACCGTACGCCGGGTAGGTTCCGGTCATCGCCGCCGTGTGGGAAACCCAGGCCGCAGGGTCGATGGGTCGGATGGGCTCACCTGCAGCAAACAGAAGGACAGTCAGACGTGGTCTGAGAACCGTCCCCTTGTTGCTGCTGCCTCTGGGGGGCGTCCTGCACAGCCCCCACCAGTCATCCCCAGCATCAGCCGGGACTCACCCGGATCGGAGCATGGAGAGTCCGGCCCAGCCCAGATCCGCTGGGGAGCAACTGGGAGAGAAAGAAGAAAGGGAGGGTCAACAAGAAGGGCACAGAGGGAGACAGTCCCCTGATGGCTCAGTGGCAGCAATCTTGGGGGTGCTTCTCCTTCCTCTGGAGCTCCAAGAAGGTGACCCCTGCCCTCGTCAAGGTGACGTGTCCCCAGCGCGATCTGGGAGGAGGACTGGGTAGAGTGGGGTGGCAGCTGTCCTGGCTGTGGGCTGCCAGGAGAGTGAGATGGCAGCACTCAGAGGCCTGCTCCATACTGGGGCCCTGAGCTCAGACTGGGGGCCTCAACCTCAAAACAAGCCCGTACCAAAGCATTGCCTAAATCAGCCCACACACAAGGAGACACAAACAAGATGGCACCCATAGCAGGGCTCTTGCAGGGGCCAGGCCCTGCTGTGGACAGCGGGTGAGTGATCCACTTACTTCTGGGTAAGGAGAAGCAGCCCCGGGGGCTGGGGTCCCAGCACTTGGCAACCGTCAGGGTGATTGGTCTGTGGCACAAACACAAAATCAGGTATTGCAATGCATGGCCCAAGCTGGGCTGCTCAATAAGAGACATGGGACATGCTGGCCCTCTCCACAGCCTGCTTCAGAGGCAGTGTAAGCTCAAGGAATGTGCCAGCACAGCTGGCCCCCTCCCAAGCCAGCGGTCATGTTCCCCCAGCCAGCACGGACAGAGTAACCTGGTGGGCAATGGGAACCGCAGCACTGCAAGCTGGATTAAGCGGGAAGGATGGACATTAGGGACAGGAGCATGTGGCTCAGGAGCCTCTGACCAGGTAACTCTGCTGCATAGAGCTAAACACAGGAGTCAGGGGGACGCTAACAAAAAGGGCCGGAGATGAGCCCTGGGCTGCCTGCCTAGATCTGGTGCACAATGAAGATGGAGGAACTGACTACAGAGGACAGCAGGGAGCTAAGAGCCCAAAGGCAAGCTGTGCTGCCAGCACCTGAGGAGCCAGAGCAACAGGACAGCAGCTGGTGAGGAGATGCAGGCTTGGGAATGACTTGCCCCCAGGGGAGAAGTGGTGGGTGGGGGATGAAGGGGGAAGGCACCTACCCTGGCTTGTGTACGATTTCCCTCAGCACCCGTACAGCATCGTCATTGCTCATGTTCTCAAAGTTGATGTCGTTCACCTGCAAAGAGGACGGATCTGAGACAGGACTGGAGACTGGGCTCAGTCATGAGGGAGGGGGCTTCTCCCTCCTAGGCTGGCCCCAGAAACGTCTCTTGGAGTAGGGGCTGAGGCTGGCGCTGTCCAGAGCTTTCACTGTCACTGCCCCAGCCCTGGGAACAGGGGGCACAGCCATGCAGTACCTGTAAGAGCATGTCTCCAGGCTCAATCCGGCCATCCGCTGCCACGGCACCCCCCTTCATGATCGAGCCAATGTAGATGCCACCGTCCCCACGCTCGTTGCTCTGCCCCACGATGGAGATGCCCAGGAAGTTGTACTTCTCTGAAAGAGGAAGGGGTGCGGTGAGCAGGAAGGAACAGAGGAGCCTTGTACCCATCAGCCCAGATCCAATCTAATCCCCACTCGCTGGTCAAAAGTGCCTCCCAACCTTCCCATTCTCCATTTGCTTCCTTTGCCTCCCCTGCTCCATTTTTATACAGTTTGGCTTTCATCTTTTCAAGCTCCCTGGTTCTGCTTGTCCCCAACGCCTACCCTCCTGACAATGAGGGCGGTTAATGCCTGCACTCCCAGCGCTCCTCCCTCACTCTGCAGTGGAAGGACCCCCCATGTCACCATGGACAGGGGAGCATTTTGGGCTTGAAGCCAGAACTTTCTGCCTCTGCCCTGCTGTCTTCTCAGGTGAGCTGACCACCCAGACAGAAAGCAGCTGGGAGCAACAGTGAGATCAGATGGGACATGGGGTGTGAGGGGGCCAAAACTCCTCCTCAGACAGGTCCCAGGGTTAGAAACTCCTCTCCTACCAGTGTAACCCTGACCCCAGCCCTGGGAGCTGCCCAGTCCCTGGGGAGACTAGTGCTTCAAGCCTAGCCGGTCCTGGCATCTCCTTGCTCCTCCGTGAGCACTCAGTCCGCATCACCCCCCGGTCCGGCCCTCCCTGCTTCTTTGCTCCACCACCTGATCTCGCTCTTGGAGCTGCTCCCTAGGTCAGGCCAGGATCCAGTGTAAGAGGCACCATTGGGTGTCCCCACTCACCCATGTTCAGCGTGACCGTGATGATGTTCAGAGACATTGTGGAGTCCGTGATGCTGCTGAAGGATGACGACTGCAACACAACGAAACACTGTGAGATGCCCCCTGCTCACTGCCCTCTGGCCAGGCACCAACCCCTGACTTGCCTCCAGATCTCCTCGCTCCCCACTGTTCCTGGGTTCCCTGCTGTCCCCTGCAGTACTGTCCCCACAGCCTCCCTCTGTCTAGCACAGGAAGCTCTGCAAAGACAGAGCAGGGGCTGCTGCATCCAACACATTCCCACCAGCAGTAGGACAAGAGAAGCCTTTCATTCTCATGGCTGGGGTTACGCTGGCTTGGGAAGCTGTCTGGGACTATTTCCAGCAGGGTCTCAGTGTCTGGCCCTAGTTTGGGCTGACCAGGCATTCTGCCGAGCCCCTGTGGGCAGGGGGTAACCTGACTCACCCACAAATCTGCCTCAGGCCCCAGAAAGCCCAGCCCCTGCCCCGCAGTCACCCTCCGCCAAGCACCCAGGCCAGGAGTACCCGCTCGATGCGCGGAGTCTTCTGTTTCCGTCGGCGTCGCTTGTGCCTCCTCATCAGGCGAGAGGCGCTGCTCTGCTCTGTGGAGCTGCTAAACCTACAGGCAAAGGGGAGGGTCAGTGTTACTGCCCGAGGCAGGTGGGGCTCTTGGCATCAGCATGCCACAGGCAAAGGCAATCTGTGACCAAGAGAGAGGGCAACCAGTGGAGCTACAAGCATGAGGAGAAGGGGTGGAGGGTCATTGGTAGACCCACAAGTGTGGAGAGCAGAGGACCATCGACAATAGTGGACATCGCTGGTCAGGATGGCAGACCACTGGCAAGGATAAAGGAGCCCCCAAACACAGGGTTACAGTGTCTTGCTCTAGCATCTTCCTTGGCATAAGGGGCTGAGGAAGAGCCCCTGTTCTCCCAGGCCCCGTGTTTTCCCTACCTGCTGGTGGAGTCATCCTCATCTGAGTCAAAGAAGCTGGTGGTCTCCAGCTCGCTGCTCATGAGTGTGGAGGAGCTCTCGTATCCTCCTAGGTCTCGGCGCCGCTCTCCCTTTGCCGTCCCATTCACCCGGGGTGCTGGGGAGATGGAGCAGTCAGCACCCAGGGCAGGGGCTGAGATGCCTGTGCAGCCCTCCCTCCTGTGAGCAGCACCAGGGGGCTCAGGGCTCTGCTGTGAGAAGTCCCTGAGAAGGAACCTGGCCTTCAAGTGGTGTCTGGTGGTGTGGGCTGCTGGAGGTGCCACCCCAACCATGGCCCCTGGGTACTCCCCTGCCTCTCTAGATAACAGGAAGGTGAACCACTGGGAACAAGAGCTGGAGCCACAGGATCCTCAGAGAGTGAAGCAGGTTGCCACATGGTCCCTCTGGGATGGAGTGGCCTGCAGGTATGGAGAGCTCAGGGTGGTGCTTTTTGGGAACAACTCCCCTCTGCTGGTGAGTGCCTGAGTCTGCAGGGGTCTCAGCCCTCCTCTGCCACTGCCTCTGGCAGACACATGCTGCACCCTCTCCCAATAGCAGCTTCTATGGGATAGTTGCCCAGTAGGATGCAACCCCAATCCCAGTGGTCTCTCTAGGAGTAATAGTTGCTCTGCCCCGGGGGGCTCTTGTCAGTAGCTTTGAAGTGATGCAGGGTGGGAGACTGAACTTCACTTCTGCCTGCACAGGCCTGGGCACAGTGGTCCCCCCTGCAGCCTGCACAGCTGGGACCAACAGCTCAGCTACAACCCATAGTGGCTTTGGACGGGGTGCGGCACTCACCGTGCTCAGTCCCATCTTTCCGACGCGGCCGCTCCCGCTGAGATGACACCACGGAGTCCGTCTCTGTGTCATTATCCAGGTTCTCCCGACTCCCTCCGGTGTTGGGGCTGTGAGGGGTGAAGAGGATGGATGTGTCCAACATGTCCAATGTCTCCTCCTCCAAGGGCACTTGGACCTCCCAGCTCCCCTTGCTCTGACATACCCCAGCTCTTCTGCACTTCCACTTGTCTCCTCCCTTTTGAGCTACACGCTGGGGCTCCTGGAGGAAAGTGTTCACTGTTCCCTTGGGAAGGAGGGGAGCCTAGGGAGCTTAGGGTGTACCCCGCAAGGGGCACTCAGGAGAGTTGGGGTGTAATCACAGGCCCACCCTGCAGGGGGTAGGAGGCTAGAGGATTTGGGAGCAGACAGAGGGGATGAGGGGACTGGGGCCATGATAAGTCTCCCTACCTCCTGCCAAAACCTCAGTGGAGTCTGAGACTGAGAAAAATGACAGAAATCTTTTTCTTGTCTGATGGGCAATGAAGCATCGAGGGAGCAGCAGCAGCAGCAGCGATGTGTTCTCCTGCTGTTTCTATCATGCCCAGTTAGTCAAACCAAAGAACTCTGGAGCCCCCTTTCAATTCCCTCTCAGCCCCACCACTGCCCGGGGACCCTATCCTAGCACTCCTTTCTCCCCACCACTGCAGCCTCTGTCAAGGAAAGTAATTAATCCTGGCCCTGGCTGCAGCCCCGGTCAAGAGAAGTAGCTAATACTCTGGCTCCTGTCTTTGCAGTCCTTTCCCCATCCCGAGTGCAGAAAAACAGGACTGTATGGACCCCTTCTGCTCTGCACATGTGTCCTAGGGAAGCCTGATGGGTCCTCTGGTGGCTTACTGGAAGGAGGGGGGCCTGGAGTCTCCAATGCCTCCAGTGCGCTCCACAGAAGGTGGCAGCTCTGGCTGGTTGTCGGCACAGACTGACCCAGCATCTGAATGCGACCCCTCTGCAGACACGAGCTGGAGAAAGAAGACAGAGAGAATGAGATGGCTCAGGATCAGAGTGGGAGCCCCAAGCACAAGAGACATCTACAACTGCAGTGGACATGGGACCAGCCTGCCTTCCAGATCCTCCACCTATAGGAGATGGTGGTAAGGGCAGGGCCAAAGCTAGCTCTGGAGCAGAGCCCACTCTGCCTCCCCAAGCACACTAAACCCTCAGCCTCAGTCAGATGAGCTGGTTTGGGCATGGCCTACAAACTCTCCAGTGATTAATACCCTGTCCACCATGACTGTGTTGAACTGGCTATGGAGCAGCTTCCATTATACGGGTGCTGGGAATACATTTGGCAGAGCTGGGCTCCAGTCCAGATTAGGACCTCGCTCCTAATATATAAACCACCAACCCCCACCCATTTCCAGGCTCAGAGACTGGAACACAGCCTTTGACCTCCAAGCAGATTGCTGGCCGGCTCAGGACAGGAGACTGAACGCTCAGGGGAGCAATGCCATGTTTGAAATGGCTCCCGCTAAATCATTTCTACTTGCATTCGCACCCTCCAGCAGCCCATCCAACTGTGCTGGGAGGTGTTTTAGCTAGCTCTGTGTTTAAGTCTGGCTTTCCACCTTGACCCCCAGAAAGATGGAGACCCAGATCTCTGATTCCCAAGCCACCCAAACTTCCAACACAGCCCCCAAGACAGAGGAGCCAAGGGCTGAACAGACTATGGAAACAGAGCTCTCTGCTCAGCTGAGCCAGGATTCCTCAAGGGAGAAGGATGAAGCTCACTCTTGGGGGAAACCTGACTTCAGTCCAAGGAGACTGCACATCTGGCCCCTTCCACCACCTCCTCTCCCAGCTCCAGGGCCTGGCTGCCTCGAGCATGCTTCCTCCACCCCCTGACCTGGGAAGGATTATAGCACCGGACCTCAGTCTTGGTTCAGCGCAGCGACAGCGCTGGAACAGAGTGGGGGCAAGTCTGGAGACAGCCTGCAGAAGCACTGCACACCGGGTTGGAGACGTGAGATGCTACAACCAGCCGGGGCAGGGGCAGGCCTCCTCACGCTCACCCATGCCCGAGTGTGTCCCAGTCTTTGCTACTTATTGGCAGCCACGAGCCGAGACAGGGCCTGATCATGGGTCACACAGGAGACACTCCAACACAGGCTCAGATGGAGCTCTGGAGAACATAGCTTCAAAAGGATCGCCAAGGGCGTGAGAGGAGGGAACTGGCTGGCAAGAAACCAGCAGCATTTATACACAGACCTTTCCATCCCGCGATGCACCAGAGATCCGGCAGGATCTGCGCACTGTGTTGCGTGCAGTTGTATAAGTGGCAAAATGCACGTTAGTGCACAGAAAATCGTGGCAAGGCACCTTCGAACTAAAACACCTTCAATGTGTTTGAGTTCAAAAGCGCGCCGCCATTTCCTCAGCGCTGATGCACATCTCACCACTTATACAACTACATGCACTGCAGCACCGCGGGCTTTTAAAAGCGCCCAGCACTGCTGCGCAAGCACGTGTACAAATGCCCCAGGATTGCAGTGGGATGCTATTCTCTCCTGGCTGCGGCTGCAGAGGATGCAACTGCAGCTCTGCTTCCTGCCAGCTGAGGGCACCACATGCAGCCAAAGGAAGGGTGGACCAAATGCACAACCCTACCGCCAAGTCCTGGCTCCAGGGATCCGGTGGGTGAGCTCAAGGAGAGCAGCAGGGCCTGGCCAGCTCGGGGAAAGGGACTGGCTGTCCTGCCTGAGCCAGCTCCCCTGACTGCTCAGGATTTCGGGGCCAGCGCACAAGAAGCATGAGGCTCGGGAGCTGAGAGAGCACCAGTGGATGCTGCTGGATGGGGCCAGGCAGAGAACTGGATCCTGGGAGCAGCCTAACAGTGCCACAGCCAGTGCCCACTGCCACCAGGGAAGCTTCCCTCCCTCCTTCACCGTCAGGAAAGAGCCAACCTCAAATCCACCCCCCCTCCCCCCGTTCCGCTCTGGCTAAAATTAGCCCCAGGCTCCTGAAATAGTCTCACTCCAGCCCAACTGGCAGCAACAGCAGCACAGAGCGCACAGCTCCCAAAGCCGCCCGCCGCACGGGAAGTGGAGCGCGAGGGGGGCAGGTCATCAGCTGTCGAGAGGGGGCTCGGAGCGGTGTTGCCTGCTGCTAGCTCCAGCACTTGGGAGCGCAGCTCCATGCGTCTGACCCACATTCAGACACTGGCGGCAGGTAGAAAAAATAGGAGCTGCGCAGCAAGGATTCAGAGCCTCTGGGACCCGCCACTAGAGCCTGAGAAAACAAAGGCAGCTGGGCAGGGAGAAAAGCAGGCGGCTACGGACAGATGCAGCAGTAATAAATACTGGGTTGGGGGAGAGGCCTGGAGGAGCTCTGTGCTGTGCCCATGAGCCACGAGGGGGAGAATTTCAAACAGTTCAGCAACCGGACCCTGCGGGTACGGGGGGCCTTACCCAGATACTCATCGTAGGATCACCCCAGGCACCCAAGCAATGGCTCTTACTCCCCTGATCTTGTTGCTCCTGACCTGACCACAGCCAGTGAGTTGCCCCAGGGGCATGGGAGCAGAGCAACAAAAGCGTCCAAGCAAAAGCGTGCCAAATGCTGCCCCTCTTCCATACTGTATCTGGGTACCTGGTCATTCATACCTGGTCGTTGGCCCAGGAGCCAACAGTGGCTGGCCATGATGTTAGCCACAATGTGCCCGTTTGTGCCACTGGCTGCAGGCACTGGTATGCTTTGCCCAAAGTATCCCGGTGGGCTGCTAGGCTCGGCTGGCCCCTTGACTTTAGGCTGAGAAGAGACTCAGCTCTCCAGGGTAGGGGCCGAGGAAGCATTGGGTCAGATCTAGGCAAGGCTGAAAGAGACTGGCGGCTGCCCTCACTGTGGGGAACCGCTTGGTGACCCGTGGGGAATTCACTGCCCTGCTGGAGTTCAGCTTAGCCCCGAGCAGGCAGACCCTGGCATCCAACCAGCACTAAACTCAGCCTCAGCAGAGGGCAAGGGCCACAGAGGCTAAGCATCCCTCTCCCCCCAGCAGGTCCCCTTCAGGACAGAGGGAGGATGGCAACAGGGGGCTGAATATGTGTATGGCATGACACGGAGGGAGAAGCTGGCCCATGCAGTGCCTGCAGTCTTCAGGGCAGTCAAATCCAGTCCATTTCAATAGCACTACATTCACTGGACCCCTCTGTGGCAGTCCTCAGGGGTGAAGGCACTCCTGCCGTAGGGGCACAGCAGTTGCCGTGGGCAGGCCTGGAGCAGTGCCACGAGGATGAACTATACTAGGTGGCAGCAAAGCAGCTTTAGAAGGTTCTTGTTTAACATATCACAACAGACTTGGGACCATCTCTCCATAGGAGCGGGGGGGATCTTGACCTGTCTTCCTCCAGGATTCAGGCCCAGGAGGACAGGACACAGCCCTCTCGGCCCATCATCTCCTCCTGGGCTTTGTCTTGTGTCGATACCAAGTACAGTTGTCCCAGGTCTTGACCTGGGACTCTGCAAAGCAGATGGCATTTTCAAAGACACTTGTATAGCTTGGAGGAAGCAGACAGCCAAAGACAGGCCATCACATAAGCTGCTTACCCAGGACACCACCCGGCCATTGAAACAGGGAAGCTTGGCATTATCGTCTGAGATCTCTTCCTTCACAACCCTGCGGAGAAAGGACAGGGCAGGTTAGAAGCAAGGCCCAAAACCCACAGCTAAGGTCCACCAACCTGTTCCACTTGGTGGGAAACCAATTGCATTCAACCACAGCTGGGTCACGGGGCCAGGAGTGGAGAGGAGGGGGGAAGAAGCTATTCCCACAAGGGACCCTGGGCTGCAGGTCAGTCTTGCAACACAAGAGAAAAAATGGCTAGTTGCTGGTTCAAGGAGAGAAGCCAGAGAGGCAGCAGTGAGCATCAAGCTGCTCTACTGTCTCAGCAAAGTGTGGGGCATGGGAGGGACAGAAGCAAGCAGGGCAGACAAAAAAAGACAGAAAAAAGATCAAGTCAGATCTGCATTTCAAGCATTTTCTTTTTTTTTTTTTTTAATAATAAGCCTCTTTGTGATAACTGGAAACCATCATCACAACCCGAGTCAGGACTCAGATGCACTATACAGTAGCTTGTTCCAATTTAAATTAATTCAATATGCTGCATCCGGGAGTCCTCCTCACACGCTGACGAGTTAAAAGGCGGCGCTACTTAATTAGACATGGGATCAGGGAAGCATTTATCTTTGCAGGCTGACTCAAGCTCTATGAACACGTTGCAAGGTCACACAGTGTGTTAAGCAAGCAGCTCTTATCATTCAGTCTTTACAGCAGAGGCAACGCTGGCACCTGCGTTTCTCTCGGTGTGAACAGGTTTATTATTTCTGCACAGAATATTTCAGCCTTAATTATTCTTAGCGAGCGCTTAGCTGGCAGCAGCAGAAAGCATCCCTTCTTCCTCTGGACTCATCCATTCAAAACGGGCAAACAAAATGGAAGCTGGAAATATTAAGGAAGACTGATTTCCGTCACCTAATCCAGAGATGCTCGGACCACACAGCTCCTCGGCTCATCACTTGGGACTCTTCACAGTTAATGCTAGCAAAGGGCTTTTCCCCATTGCATGCGCTGGATCTGTCCTTCCCACAACCATGACTGACCACTTGGGCCAATGCTATCCATGTCACTATATAGCACAGGGTTTTTTCCTTCTGCCCTGGAGCGTTTGCCACCACCCAGCCAGGCGGGTATATGTTGCTGTGGCTCTTTGGTCAACACTGACTGCCCAACCAGCTCCCGACCCAGACAGGACTGAGCATCATTGACCTCATTTATGAATAAAAACCAGAACACCTACAAATTCTAGCAACTGGAAAGACACGAGGCCAGAATTTCAAAGATATTTAGGTCCCCAATCCTGTTTCAGGAAGCTCGTACGCAGGGTAGGTGCCCAAATCCCACCGACATCAATGGATGTTAAAGATCTCACCTGCTTAAGTGGGTTTGAAAACTCCACTAAATGTCCATCTGCATCATCAGGAGCCTGAATAGCTTTGAAAACCTAACCCTGGGTGATCAGAAACAAGCTGCCAATTCACTGGCTGCAGTTAATACCACCTTTGTTTAACAGGCTCATTTTAATAAACCCGTTTTCCCCTTATATAACAGTGCATTTAAAGTCATTTTCTTCCACTAATAAAAAACAATTTTCAAAAGCCGGTTGTGTGCGTTTCCACTGAATTTCCACGTTCCATCCAAAATAATCTAGTACGTAACTGGGGCATGACACGGTCTTCTAAATACAGTAATATTGACTCTGAATAAAGGTCTGTTAAGCTCCAAAACTGCTAGTTCAGAGTGTCTAGTGATAGTGTACCCACTGGCTTAGCAAACTGCAGCGCCGAATGCATCGTGCAGGCTATATTCAGTTGTGATTGGGATGCTTTGATGGGCACATCAGCCAGAGAGAATGAATTTTTCCTTAGGAAATGAAGCGAAAGATAAAAGTGCAGCATCAGATTAAGCTCGGTGATTTAAAGCAATCTACCAAAAAACTTCCAGCAGGACAGGGACCCAAAACAACTGCCATCTTGGTGTCTTCTTGGGACTGCAAAACTGTGTACAAGGATGAGTGCAGCCGTCTTCTCTGGACCTGTGACCCCTGCATGCAATGAGACCTGGCTGCCTGGACTGAGATGGAGCATGCTGAAGCTTGGAGAGCAAAGGTCCTCTGGGCTGTGCTCAGCTACGTGGGTGTTCGGAGCTGCCCAGACAGACACTGAAAATAGGGCACCAAACCACATTTACGCTCTCAAAACGTCTGCCAAAGGCAAACAGACCACGCTACACACCGACGCCTAAACAGGCTCTGCCTCACCCTGCCTCCCATACCAGCCGCCCCATTCACAGATGGAGAGTCCTACCTGCCAAGACGGGCACGGGCTGCCTAGCCCTGCCCAGGAGGGCAGACGTAAGGCCAGCTAGCACTGCTCCCGGGAGGCCACGTTTTCTCCCACCGCCCCATCCAGCATGGATCTGCTGCACAGTACGAGTGTCAAATGCTGGCAGGCTGCTCCAGGCCAGCCCATCTCCTCCCCCTTGACTAGCATCCGTTATGCTGTCGCCGGCAGCCTGGACTTCATCCAGTTCCTAGAGAGAAATCCGAGCCAAGCCAGCTTCCAGTATTGCCCATGACTTCCACAGAGGCTCCAAGTCCCCTATGTTGGCAAAGGGGACAGTGCTACAGACTGGCAGGGACAATGTGACCAACTACAAGGAAAGGATTACCGAGCCCCCCAAACTGGGCTTTCCTGTGGGGTAGGGGGTTGTGACAGGGAAGACCCCATGGCATCACAGAATTGTAGGGTGGGAAGGGACCACAAGGACCATCTAGTCCAATCCCCTGCATGGACGCAGGATGATGTCCCTAAACAACCCCCAGCAAATGCTCATCCAGCCTCCTGAAAGCCTCCAAGGACAGAGTCCACCGCTCCGAGGGCAGCTCCTTCCGCTGTCCTGCTGTCCCTACAGGGAGGAAGTTTCTCTGGAGGTTTAACCCAAGTCTGCTTTGCTTGATCCCTCGGCCCCGCATCCTGCCCTCTGCGGCAAAGAGAACAGCTGCTGTCCCTTAGGGCAGCCTTCCTAATATTTGAAAACTGTCATCATGTCCCCCCTTGATTTTCTCTCTAAACTAAGCATACCTAGTTCTCTCCACCTTTCCTCATATGGCTGCATCCTAAACCCCTGTAGCACCTGCTGCTCACCTCTGGATCCTGTGCAGTTTCTCTACATCTTTCCTAAAATGTGGAGCCCAGAACTATACACAAAAGACCAAACCAGCGCCGAGTGGAGCAGTTCTGTCACCTCTTGTATCTTATGTATCATATTCCTGTTACTACCGCCCCAAATCGCCTTGGCTGTGCTGGCAACCACATCACATTGCTGGCTCCCATCGAGTCTGAGAGACACCAAAACCCCCAGACCCTTTTCAGCAATGCTACTGTCTAGCCATTTACCCCCCACTCCGTATTCAGACCTTTGGGTTAGGGTTAGGGATAGGACTTCTTTAGACATAACCCTTACATTGGTCTTTGTCGCACTTCCTTTGGTCACTGTTAGCCCAGCTCTCCAATCTATCAAGAATCTGCCGAATTCTATTCATTTCCCCCAAAATGTCTGAAACCCCTCCCAGTTGTGTGTCACCTGCAAACCTGCTCTAGTCCTGCATCCAAATCATTAACAAACAGGCTAAATAATGCTAGACCAAGAGCAGACCCCTGAGAAACCCCACCTGAAACCTCTCGCCATTGAGCAGCTCAGAGTCACTCTCTGACTGTGGTTATTCAGCCAGCTTGCCCCTACCAAACGTGACTTCTGCCTAGCCCGCATTTCTCCCCCAGTTTCCTTATGACAATGTCACGTGGGACTGTAGGAAAAGGCTTTCTGAAGTCCAAGTCCATTGCACTCCCTCCGTCCAAACTAGGATTAAGTCCCTGCCTTGCCCCTTCCTCCCCACCACCTCCCCAAGTTATTTTGCCTTTTACCCTTATTCCATTTTGGGAAGGGCAGCAGAGACATGCAAGGAGCATTTCAATGCTCTTTCCTGCTCTCCCCCATCCAACCCCCACCCCAAGGGTGCTCCAGCAGGGAAACAGGCCGTCCAGGGCTCACACCTAAGCTGGAAGCAGGCTTCTTTCCCACAGAACAAAGAAAAGCACCCCCCGCCTGTCCCCGTTCGCCTCGTGCCAGATCTGCACGCTGCGTTATTCATTATATACTTACCACTGGGATTCCAGGGCTCAAGGAATGATATAGTTTGAATCCCCAGAGGCTCGAGTCAGACAGGCCGAGCGGTAACAGCCCCACGCTTCTGCCAAGGCCTGGTAATCCAGACCCAGTCTCTATGACTTTCTAACCCTAAATTTTCCTCCATGGGTTTGCTGATGGCCCTCCATCCTGGATCACAGCCCTCTGCACCTCGAGCTGCCCTGTGCAAGTTGCACCCAGAGCCGAGCATTCAAGGCCACGTTGGTGCTTCGCCATTAAATGCACCACATGCAGTAAATGTTGGCCCACTGAGCACGACAGGAGAGCCCCTAATGCCCTACCTGTTCTAGGAGAGCCCTGGGAACAGGGGCTGACAGGGAGGGAGCTGCACCCTGAACTCCACTGCGGAGGAAGGGACTTTATCCCAAAGCAGCGGATGAGTCAGAACATGGCTGTGACCCTCTAGGTTCTCCAAGTGCCTCTCCGTCCAGAGGCAGTGGTGACAGCTCATGCAACCCCCGCAAGTGTGGGTCCCACTAGATTTGGTAGCTCTGGAGCACCCATATCTTTGCCCACCCAGTGACAACTCCTAGCCGCAAATAAGCAGTTTGAACCCCTGCCCAAACCGTGGTGGCGCAGGCCACACACACATGCCACCGAGCAGGCTGCAACTGCTTGATGGCCCGCAGAGGTGACCCAGCCCAGCTGCCAGCGGGACCGGGTGACACTCAAGAGGGAGTCTCCACGGGCTCCCTCTCCTTATTACCTCCCAAGAGGGATTTTGGCAGCATCAGCTTGGAATCCAGGTGCGCCAGGACTGACGATGGCAGCAGCTGCAGCGAACGGTCAGCCACGATCGCAGCATCATCTCACCCCCCACAGCAGTCTGCCGCGCTCCACAGGGGCCACGG